TGCTGCATGTGCTGCTGCATTTGCTGCCGGAGCTGCTGCTGCATGTCGATGGCTTTCTGTTGCTGCTTCTGCTGCTCCTGCTGCTGCTGCTGCTGCTGTTGCTGCTGCTCCTCCGCCTGCTGCTGCTGCTGCTGCTTCTGCTGCTCCGCCTGCTGCTGCTGCTGCTGCTGCTGCTGCTGGCTAGCTTGGCGGCTTAGGGCGTGTTGGCGCTCCAGCTGCAGCCGCTGCTGCTTGTAGAACTGCTGCAGCTGCTGCAGCGCGTCGTCTGGTTTGCTGCTGCTTTTGTTGTATGCTGCTTGCAGCTGGGAGGCGTGGGTCATGCTGCCTGCTGCAGCAAGAGCCTGCTGCTCCGCAGCCTTGGCAGCAGCAGCAGCAGCAGCAACAGCAGCTTGCAAGTTTGCTGTTGCTTGCTGCTCCGCCAGCCGAGCCCCCTCAGGCAAATGCGCAGGGTTTACAACTTCAGTGCCATCTTCATAAGTATATCGAACAGCAAGAACTCCTCCTCTTGCTGCTGCTGCTGCTGCTGCTGCTGCTGCTGGGTCTTGTCCGGGTTGCTGTGGCCCGTCGGCAGCTGCAGCCAGGCTCCGCAGCCGCTCTGCTGCTGCAGCAGAAGCCTCGCGGTCTGCTGCTGCTGCTGCTGCTGTCAGCTGCAGCAAACGCAGCTCTTCCACATCGCGCTCCAGCTCCACCTGCATGTTTTGGAGGCACTTTGCCAGTAGCTGCAGCAGCAGCAGCAGCAGCAGAAGCAAAAAAACAAACCATTACAAACACTTATTTATTACTTCTAAACCCTAAATAATAAGTATTAAATAATAAATGAACAAATAAATAAAACAATAAACAAATAAAATGGATAACTTTCATTGGGGCATGAGAAATGTCAAAAGGGAAGCAAGAGGAAGTGAAACCAGGATCCCAAAACCCCAAACCCTAAACCCTAAACCCTAAACCCTAGGGGACTCACAAGGTGGGCCTGTTCAAGGGTGAGTTGGTGTTCAGCTGCTAGGGCCCTTTCCCAATAAGGTGCTGCTTGCTGCAGCTGCTGCTTAAATGCTGCAGCAGCAAACTGTGGGGCCCTTCGGGACAGCAGCAAAGAACATTCTGCTGCGCAGCCCTCCACCAGGCAGTTGAAGTACCTGCAGCAACAGCAACAACAGCAGCAGCAGCAGAAGCAGCACCATATTTTGTATTTGTTTATATTTATATATTTATATATTTATATTTATATTAATGTTTATATTTATATTTATGTTTATATTTATATTTATGTTTATATTTATACTTACGTTTATATTAATATTTATCCTTATCTTTATATTTATATTCATATTTATGTTTATATCTATATCTATATTTATATTTATATTTATATTTATATTTACATTTATATTTATATTTATATTTATATTTATATTTATATTTATATTTATATTTATATTTATATTTATATTTATGTTTATATTTATATGTATATGCAAGCCAGAAATTATGACAGAACAAAAAGGGCGAGTTTAGATGTTAGGGTTTAGGGCTTAGGGTTTAGAGTTTAGGTCTAAGGGTTTAGGGTTTAGGGTTTAGGGTTTAGGGTGTAGGGTTTGAGGCGCGAACAACTAATGACCAGACAAATAGAAAACGAGATATGGTAAGCAACAAATGAATAAAACAATAAATAAAAATAATAAATAAAAAAAACAAATGAATTAATTAATTAATCAATTAATTAAAAATAAATAATTAATTAATTAATTAAAAATAAATAAATAAATGAATTGTTGCAGCACCTCAGCAGCCATTTGCCGGCGAATTCATGAGCAGCAGATTTCGATTCGGTCTTCTTCAAGTTGCTGTCGATGTCTGCAGCAAAACAATTGGAAACAGTTGCAGCATTTGCTGCTGCTGCTGCTGCTGCTGTTGCTGCGGCTGCTGCTGCTGCTGCTGCTGTGACTGCTGAGGCTGCTGCTGTGACTGCTGCGGCTGCTGCTGCAGTGTGTGTCTTAGCGAGTGTTCTACTGCTGTGCTTCTACTGCTCAGTCTGGCTCTGCTGCTGCTGCTGTTGCTGCATCTGCTGCTGCTGCTGCTGCTGCTGCTGCTCTTACCCCTGAGGTGGCTGACGAGCTGCCGCGTGAGGCCTACGATGAGTTTAATATCTGTTTCGTGCAGCTGCTGCAGCAGCTGCAGCAAAGTTGGCATGGCAATTGTGTCAGGAGCAGCAGCAAGACCTTCGCTTTTTAGCTGCTCAAAGACAGAGCAGCACAAGCTGCTGCTGCTGCCGCTGCTGCTGTCTTCGAAGGCCTGCAGGAACTGCGCCAGCGTCAGCGTGGGGCCTGCGCACACCAGCAGCAGCAGCAGCAGCAGCATGTAGAAAAAGAATTAATAAGAAAACACGTGCAAAGGGCTCCGCCAAGACTGTTGCAGCAGCAGCAGCAGCTGCTGCTGTTGCAGCTGCTGCAGCTGGGAAAATGGAACAGAAATGAGCCGAAACAGCAGTGCAGCAGCAGATGTAGCAGCAAACGACGCAGCAGCAGCAGCAACGGCAACAGCAAAATTACCAGGCAGCCGAAGCTTGTCGACCACGTCTTGCTTCCAGTGTACAGACACCCTTTGAGGTGCAGCAGAGCGCAGCTGCAGCTGCTGCTGCTGCTGTTGCTGCTGCTGGCGCTGCTGCTGCTCTTGCTGCATTTGGTGCTGCTGCTGTTGCTCTTGTTGGCGCTGCAGCTGCTGCTCTTGCTCGTCCTGCAGCCGCTGCTGCTGTCGCTGCTCCTGCGACGCCTGCTGAAGCAGCTGTTGTTGTTGCTGTTGTTGCTGTTGTTGCTGCAGTTGCTGCTGCTGCTGCTGCTGCTGAGATACAAGGCTGTCTTCTTCCTTTTCCTCCGGTGTGGTTTCTCTTGTGGCTTGTTCTTGCTGTTGGGGTTTTTGGGGTGTATCCATAGCTTCCTTTTCAGCCTGCTGCTGCTGCTGCAGTAGCTGCTGCTGCTGCTGCTGCTGGAGCTTCTGCATTTGCTGCTGCTGCTGCTGCAGCTGCTGCTGCTGGTCGCGTTCTTGGGAGCTCATCTTGCTGGGTTTGGCGAGGGGGGAGGGAGTGTCGAGTTTGCTGCTGCTGGTTTGCTGCTGCGGGACTTTGCGGGTTCTCTTGGGGGCCATTAAGGGGTTAAAGAGTCTTAAATGGTATTTAATTAAATTTGAAGTCAAAAAATCAAACAAAGAAGCTGAAAAAGCTCATAGTGTGGCCTTTGTGGCTGCCCGGGAGCTGTCGATACACCCAAACGGCTGCAGCAGCAACAGCAGCAGCAGCAGCAGCAACAGGCCCTGAGTTGCACACCTTCGGACAGAAAAAGGTGAAATTCAGATTAGAGTGACTTTATAAAATAGAAAAAGGCAAATGTGGAGGCGCTGCCGAAAAAGAGAAGCAAATCGGCGCTGCTGCTGGGGTGTACAGACAGCTAGTGTGAATCGAGTGCTGCTCTTCGATGCGTGGAGCTGCTGCGGCCCTGGAAAAGCCCTTTTGAAGTTTGCAGAAGAATATATTGCAAGTTTAAACAAAACTAAACCCGAAATGAGCAGAAATAATGCAATAATAACCTCCCAGCCTTCAGGTGTAGGCGCAGCTCGCGACCAGCCACAAGAGGTAGCGACAGCGCCGGCCGGCTCAAAACACCTCGAGCGGCGGCGGCTGAAATCGGTTTTTTTTGCTTTTTTTGGACTTTAAAACAATGCCCTAAATTCAATATAATACAATTCATTTAATCAGGACAAAAAACCTTTCAAAAAGACACCAAAAAAACCCGTTTCCCCTTCCTTCACCCGCGCCCGATGCGGTGTCTAGGCAGCTGCGCCGACGCGCTGTCTGTCCACCCCGGATGTTAAGGCGATTCATTTTTCTCCTTTTTAAATTTATATTTCATTTCAAAATATAAAACAATTTCACAAATAAAAACCCAAAGGGCGGCGGCAGCGCCCGCAACCGCGTAGATCGCCAGGTGTATGTACACCCGAGCGTTGCGACGCGGAATCGGCCGTGAGCAAACCTTTCTTTTCGCCGCATTTTCCGTTTTTAATTCCAAAAAGTGCCAAATATGTCATTTAAAATAACTTTATAATTAAATTTAATTAAATTGAACACAAAAAACCGAAAAAAGGACCCAACTCACCTCATTTGCCTCATTCAACACTGTTGGCTGCGGCTTCGAGCTGCCGGAGATGCCCGCAGAATTGAAAACCCGAAAAGTTTAAATAAATTTAATTAAATATATTTGAAATAAAAAAGATTTAAAAAGAAAATCTAAAGGCCGAAAAGTTCTGGCTCCTGATTTTCTGGAAGCAGATTCCGCCTGGTGTACAGACACCGCAATAGCGACGCAGCACAAACGCAGCAGCAGCAGCAGCAGCTGCAGCAGCAGCAACAGAAGCAGCAGCAGCACCAACAGCAGCAGGTCTTGTGAGTCTATTTTAGCTAGTACGTTCTCATTATCCAGTGCACCAACAGCAGCAGCAGCAACAGGTTATCAGCAGCACTAATAGAGACGCGGGCAGCTGAAGCAGCAGCGACAGCAGCAGCGGCGATGCTACAGCCATCAGCAGCAGCAGCAATGCCACAAGCAGCAGCAGCAGCATCGATGACACAACCAGTAGCAGAAGCAGCAGCAGCTGGGCCATACACCCTTAAATATTGCCGCTGCTAACGCGCTGCAGCAGGTGCTGCTTCTGATGCTGCTGCTGCAAATGCTGCTGCTGCTAGCACGCTGCAGATGCTGCTTCCGCAGTTGCTGCAGCCATTGCTGCAGTTGCTGCTGCTGCTGCTGCTGCGTCTCTGCCCCATCGCTGTTGGGGTGTCTGTACACCCTGCGGCATTTCTCCCGCAGCAAATTACGAACCAGAACTTTTCGTTTTCTTATTTTTATTTTGAAATCTTTGTTGCCCCAAATACATTTATTTTTTATCATTTTTAATTTTATATTTCCTTCTGAAGCTGCTGCTGCCTCAGTCGGGTGTACATACACCAC